ACTCGTCCCGGCCTCAACCTTCACGAACAACATGCTCTTATCGTTTTAGTGCTGAAACTCACTCCGCCAACTGGACTGCGAGTGCCGCTCGTCTGTGAAATCACACATCGCCGAATGTCGATCCCGGCACGATCTGTGAGATGCGTGCACGCTGCGTGCTTCGATTTGGAGCCATTTATCATGCAACAGAATGAGAATTCATTATATGAGTGCCATCTCTGCAAGTGAGTATAGTTATTTGACGCGATTTTGCAGAAAATGGGCTTTTAAGGAAAATCAAATAGTTGATGTAGAGATGATTCTGCATTTTTGGCTTTCGCGTAGTGATCTTCACGAGCAAAAAAATGTAAAAATGTGATAGGGCACTTTCTATTATTACACGTAATTATCTTGTAACTCAAACATTTCTCAGTGTGTAGATTGCACAATGCGCGCGGTGTCCTACGACTCAAATTATTTTGCTGTTTGTTTAGTAAGTTTAATTAGATGCAATGGTTGTAAGTGATAAAGCTGTCCTACCCAAACGCCTTCCAAGATTTATCTACCAAACAACGAGCCGTGGAGTATCGTGTTTGATGTGCAATTTCATACGCTAAATCACAGATTATCTCACCTACTTTTCACGGACCATAGTTAAGGAAACGATTTTTGGAAATTAAAAAAATTAGAGTCAATCCAATTCATTATAGTTTGCACGTAGTTACTTTCTTGGAAAAATCAAAGGTCCATAAATTCTCTTTTTGAACTCACTTTTCATGATCATCTAACGACTAATCTTCTGTGTATGTAATCATCTCATAAATGAGGATTAGGGGCGGGTAATCTGCGCAAACACTTCGAGAACAGATCATTTCTATAATACGATACCTTCTCGTCACAGTGATTCTAGCTGATTCTGGTCTTTTTATGGAAAGTTTCTGCAAAATTTTCTCAAATATTATCGTCTCAAAAAGATTGCGATTTTCTTGCTTTGAAAATTGCAGAGGTCATTCTTGCAATTTTTCTTTTGGACAGCCCTTCCTTACTTTTTTGGCTGTGTTTCTCCGATTTTATTACCTTCCATTTCCAGGACAATCTTCCAACTTGGCGAAATCGAACTCGATTATTTTGTTGGAAAAATGCTTCGTGAAACAACGGGCACTCAAGCTGTGGAGATGTTGCTTGAGCCAAATGGCGAATACCGGCCTGTCGAACCAGAACTGAGCTCAAGAAAGAGGCCAAATGATGAGAATGGTAAGGAAATTTTATTTCTTGTGGACCAGTTCTCGTCTCCCATTGAAATACGACGTACAAAGCTGCTCTAGAATATCGTATAATTCCCCTAAGA